TTGATATATTTGATATCAAAAGACACGAGGGTGAGATTCTCTCTCTATATATATTGTATATTGTGTCCCAAGCAGGGAGCGTTACTATGGAAGGATAACTAAAGATATGAAAATAATGGATTGTGAATGACGGATTGTGACCCAGGCAATGTTTGAAGATGTAGTATGTCAAAAGGTAAGAAAAAGGGGGTTAACGTAAGTGCGTTTGGTTTAACGCGGCTTTCAACTTTTTTGCATAATACAATGTATATTACAGCATGTCAGATTAGTGTGGAGGAAAACCAGACATGAAGCGGTTCATAGACGTTAACCACTTTGGTTTGGTTTGGTTTGGTGTTGGTTTGTTGGTTGTTTAACGCCACACTCAGCAATTTTCCAGCTATATGACGGCGGTCTGTAAATAATCGAGTCTGGACAATCTAGTGATTAATATCATGAGCATCGATCCACGCAATTGGGATCGATGACATGCATCAACCAAGTCAGCGAGCCTGACCACCCGATCCCGTTAGTCGCCTTTAACGACAAGCACAGTCACCTTTTACGGCAAGCATGGGTTGCTGAAGACCTATTCTACCCCGGATCTTCACGGTTCTTACCACTTTGGTGAACCCCAAGAGCATTAAGCTACCAAACCTAGAAACATAATCAGGACGAAGCCAAGATCACAGGTTTCTGGCATCAGTGTCTTTGGATTTGGGGATGATGTTTTCAGCTTATTGTAGTCGTTGATGACTTGACGTTCTTGTGTATCAATGACAGACCATCAGCAACCCCCACGGTCTTGCCGCCTCGCCTGTAGTCATTTCCCGAACATGGCTACTAAAATATGTTATACAGGAGGGGCTGATAATTCAAACTATTAGACAAATACCTTAACGATCTACTCAAATATGCGAAAACATTTAAGCATCAATTCTGGAATGATGATCGCAGTTATCGCAGTGCGGTTATCTCTTAAGCGTGGCTACCTCGTCTCAAAGGCCGAAGATTACATCAACGCCATCTATTGGCCAAGGGTGAACAACTCTGTTTACAGAAACTTTGACACTGTATGGAGTTGTACAGGAGATGATATGTTCGGGAGCTTAAGACCCACCTATCAATGGACGTATGAGATAGCGTGAATAAGTTGGGATGGTTCAGTTATTCTGTTTCATGTACCAAAGGGAGATAACAGACTTACGGAACGTTTGACATGAATATGAATCAAGGTGATATCTGACAAAGCAAGGATTAAAATTGTGTTAGGACTAACCCTATTGTTTGTACTTACTTGCTGATACAGCCGCATGATTCTAAACAGTTTCCGTGCTCGTCCATTAACCTAGTGACACTGTATTTTGGATCACCTTGAGAAAGTGTTAAACCAATTCGTTTCAACTCTTTATTTCTGTGGTGTAATATTACAATTTTTTTTTTATTCATGTATGATTAAAACTGGTGTTAAAACAAACTTATACTTTTGAAAGAAATATTAATAAAAAAATAGAAACTATTTACAAGGTAGTTGGATATAATACTTATTTTATTCGCTAATGCTTTACTGCAATTGCCTCTTACAGAGCTCGTCGATCAGATAACTATTCATGTCCCTATTATTTAGGAGATAAACATACCGTGTTTTCGGGGTAAAGTTAGGTTACCTGTAGATTTAACCGCGATAAATTGAATTTTTGACCTGACCGCGCAGCGTGAGGTTTCAAATGTTACAATTTAGAGCGGTTAAATCTACAGGTAACCTAGCTCAACATTGAAAACACGGTAGTTTTATCTCCATTCTACCATGACTAAATAAAACGCGAACTCTTAGGTGTTAGCAAATATACTGAGTGAAGTGCCACGAAATGTATTGCCACACATCCTTTGAATATTGTAGTAACCGCATCTGTGCATTTTGTAACCTGTGATTGTAGATATAATTAAATAATACTATTCTATGAATATTAGCTTCAGCGGTGATGCGGCCGTCAAACCAGCTGTTTCAATCAGAGGGGGTTTATTGTGATTTAATAGCCTCCGATTGACCAATCACAATCGAGTAAATTCCAAATTCATGGTAGAATACTGTGTAAAAGTAGCTGTTCGTTACATTATTTTTACATCCACAGTATATTATGTTGACTGTAATGACAATGTGTGTGCTATAAAATACCCTGTACATAAAGCCTCTCTGTGTCTCTGAAAGATAAAAAGTTTTGCCTTGTTTATCAAGATAAAATATCGAGACTGTAGGATTTGAGAGATCACATCAGTCTCTGGCGCCATGTTAAACCCCTCTTACGACCCGCCGATAACTACTTCAGTTTCGAGTGCAGACAATCAATTTTATATAAATCACTATGCCAGATATACATTATTTCAGAACGCAGCACCGATACAAGAAACATTAATTTGCCAGATATACATCACTACAGAACGCAGCACCGATACAAGAAACATTAATTTGCCATGGTGTTGGAACTGTACGGTAAAGCACTGATGCCTTGTCGGGTTGAACTGAACGTGGTGGCTTATTGACACTCTAGTACGGACGGATTAGTGCAATAGTGAGTTCAAGATAACGTTCTTTTACACAGTAATTGACACACACTGATTAGATAATTCGGCCTGGTCACAATCAGGTGTCATATGTTTTAGACAAGCTTGTTGGACCCATATGACTACTTATATGATGAAAAGAAGGTCATATGTACTTTTTTCATTTTGCAGTTGTACTGTCCTGACATGACGTTATGTACTTTCAGCTTTCCATTTGGCATTAGATGTTTTTGCCATGGCAATGACCCACAAACATGTGAATTTTCTGCGTTATATTTGGCAGCTTAAGGTTTCAAGAATTTTGATGAAGCTTGATTGTGAGGATTCATAAATGCATATTCCATTGTACAATTTCTGTATCATGAGCATGTGTTTATGAATCACTATCACATGGGGGTGATACCAGGTGAGCGCGAAAAGGCAAGCGTGTCCTGCTCCACATGTAGTACTCGTTGCAAACACATGCAAAAGCAAGTCAATTGTTCCCCTGAAAACAACACGGGAACATATAGTAAAGTCAAAATAGGGAATTCAATCGGACATAATTTTCGTCACTGATGTCCTCCACGTTTGCCATGCTAATGCCTTGAAAGCTGTAACCTTGATCAAAGAATGTTTAGCCAAAGTCGAATGATCAGCTTTAAAATCTTCGTAGTAAGAGCATGATCGATGGTACCTCTAATCGAATCACAAAGTCTGGAGCTGCAGGAATATTGCTGGACATACAGGGGAAGTTTACAATTGTGGATAGTCTTGTTCCAGTTCACTTTAGGGTTGACGAAACTAGGATTGTACAGCCTGAAGTCAGGAATAACGAAGTTAACAGCGACGCAAAACAAACATACAGTTAAACCTCGTTAATCCGGACGGAACTTTCCAAAGAAATCCCCCGGGTTAATAAATGTCCGGATTACGAAGGTTTTCCTTTGCCTATATGAATACGTCCTCAAAACAGATCGTCCGGATGGTAGAGTTTCCGGATTAACGGGGCACGCATTAACGATTTCACTGTATAAAGGAGCTTCTAAACATGGCATGTCCTACATGCGTACACCAAAGGTTTCACGCCACTTTTAGAACCATCACAACGGGGGTGACATTGTACCCTTACAAAGAATAATACCCAAATATCATAATTCAATATTATTATATTCAATATATAATATCAATCTTCAGAAACCAGCTACAACCATCCACAAAAAGTACGAGACATTGCGAGATTTGTCAATAATGTGGTTCATCTCGTCGGTGCGCCAGCCACCAAACGAGAAAAGTTGACTAAGCGATGTAAGGGAGCTAACTCTAAATACGGAAGCTATCGCTGCACAACAGCGTTGTACCGCGTATGATAGTATTCGCTCCGTACATGTTAGGTAACTGCGCAGAGGGTTGTTTTCGTAACGTCGAAGTCCCGAGTTCGATTCCCAAACATGGCTACAACTTGTGAAAGCAATGATGATTTCTTGCCTCACCATTTCTAGATGTCAGGTAAAACAATCCGCTCACAGATTATAGGCACTCCTGACCAACTCGTGTTATTCCGGGACAAGCCGAATAGCGACTCGTGCCCCTCTCATGGACATTTTTGAGACTGGGTTCCGTCTTAGCGCAAACGGGCATACCTAAAACAATTGTCAACTCGTTGCGTAATGGTTCACATATATTTCCACATATATCATATATATTTCAGATGCAATTTAAAGCACATCGGGACGTGCGGAATTATACAGTATGATTGAACACATTTAACTGTGTCTTGAGTATATTTTTAGGTGCAAGACATATGTAAAATCAAAACTTATTTCTGAGGGATTATTTGACATAGAATTCGAAATCATACGCGCATTCTGATTGGTTTGTCGTATTTTTACATATAACATTCATCGATGGGGGGCGAATCTTCTTGCAGGTTACGGAAAGGGGCGAGTGGTGCCGAATGAGATTATGGGCTGGATTTCATCTGGGAAATTGATACACAACACTGACTTCATTCACTGGGATTGAATTGTAATTGTTGAAAAGGAAATTTATCCTATAATTCCACTGAAGAGACCTCTGTTTAAATTCACACTAAAATCAGCCAACCAGAACGAAAACAGGCTGCACGAGCCAATCGTGACAATTAAAGAGGTCAAATGTACCACTCAATTTGATACACAATGAGAATGCTCACACAACCTGTGGGTATTCCTGGTAAGAATATAGGACCCCTCCGAACGATGCTTGCCATGAGAGGCGATGTAATAGCACGGGAGGTCAGGCTCAGTGACGAAGTGGATTGTGTATCATGGCGCGCCAATTGCGTAGATCGTTGCACAATATTTGCTCCGGTCTGGTCCAACCTACATTATTTACAGACCGCCGCAAAATAACTGCAATATTGCTGAGTGTGACGTTAAACAGCAAGCGATAAAACAAAACCAGTAAGAAAACTAAAAAAAAACAGAATATAAAACACATCAACATTTGTAAAACGTTTATTTTTGAAGATTCACGAACATAACGAGATAATTGTTTTTGCTGTGTTGAGGCTCCATGATGAGGTGTCAATATTTTAGGTCTGTCTAGAAATTGTATTTGTGATTATAATTCTCGCCACTTGAAATAGAATTAAGGAATGTACCCACGTTATGAAAACTTGATCTTTATCCAGGGTATGAAACTCCTAAAATTTTCAGCCAGACCACAGGACTGGCTAGCTGAAATACTTGCCAGCCCTGACCAAAACCTGTCTGCCCACTATAATCATATGTTTCTCAGGATAATTTAATTAAAACTTTAAATCGAATTCATTGAACATGAAGTAATGCAAGAAAAGAAATAGCAAACACTTTTTAGGCCAGATTTGTATTAAATATATTCGAATACATCATGTGCTTATCATTGGGAAATATTTAGAATATTTTTACATATGAAATGTAACCCGACCGTCGGGCAGGGGGATTTGAAAATCTGGCAGCCCGAGTTGAAATCAACCCGTCTCGGACGGTCGGGCAGGCAGGTATTTCGAACACTGCTTTATCGCAAGCAAAATGGGTATTTTCTTGACAAGCGATCTTTGCAAAATCTTCACTGCAAGTTATATTCGTAATCGGCTAAAAGGCTTGTTTTTCGCTTTATGAGTATTAGCACACATGCATCTGTCTTCGTTAATTACTTATCGCGATATTTCGTGTTTCTATTTCAGGTTGCGAGAACAATAGTTACATTTGACACATTATCTGTGTAATTAGCGTAAGAATAAAAGAAACTCAATAAAAATAATACTCATATAAATCCCAATATTTGATTGTACAGACAAATAAAGTGGCTTTTGAATGACTTGAATAAATTTTGTTGGGATTGCCAATTGCCAGAGCGTAAGTTTCCATTAGCCGCGTCGCCCAGGTCGTTTTCCTCCTGTCGGCTTTGGGTGTCGTGGTGGTCGTCCATCCGGTCGTCGGCGTGGAGGTTGTGTAGGCTGTGGAGCTTGTGGGTCTGGTGTATTTTCCCCAGTCTGTCCCGTGGGTCCCCACAGGGACAGATCTAAGGATGGGATAGCCGTTGAACTGCAGTCAACAACCTGGTTGCTAGAGGCGAAACATTAAATATATGAATGGTTGAACTTATTATATGAATGGTAGATATCAATCTCATTAAAATCAGATCTTAGCCCTCGCTACCGCTAAACAAAGACGTGAAGACATTCCATTAGGGGTCACGTCAGACCGACCTTGCGCGAACTTTGACCGACCAATGGAATGACCAATCAGAAGGCAGCTTTCTCGTGCTTTACGGCACTAATTTCAAATTGTCGACTACGCTTCGAAACATATTTTGACGAATTCTCGATTACAAATTTGAAGCCTGAACAAAAGAACATTCTGGAATGGTTAATAGATGGTCTAGATTGTATAGATTCAGTCGTTAAACCCTATCTTTCGTTCGGAATACCCCGTGTTTTCGAGGTTGCATGATTAGAAATCACATTCTGACTGTCACTTTCATAATCTGGTAAGCGACGCTCTGATTGGTCGGATGAAAGGTCGTTCTGACGTGACCCCTAATGGGGTGTCTTCAGATCTTTGTTCAGCGGTAGCGAGAACTAAGGTCTGATTTTAATGAGATTGCGTAGATATCAAAAACTCTTCGTCGGTTTGCATCAATGGCAGCGCGGAAGATATTGTTCAAATGGTTCTTGATACATAATTGTTGACGTTTTTGACTGCATTTACTATCTAGGTTCACAACTGATTTGAACAGATTTTAAGAAATATCCTGACATGGCAACTTGATATGGAACGTTAGCGTAAACACTTACGTGAATCTCAACAACACAGTGATAACGGATGTTATAATCGACAAGAATCTGGGACTCTTGTGAATCCAGACGTAATCTCCTCAACGTATTAAATTATTGTATAGTGAGTGAGTGGGGTGCTTAGTACAGTATTTCAGTTATATCACGGCGTGTCAGCTCACTGTTGGAGAAAAGCCGAAAACGATGCAAGTCTCGGACATTTACCTCTTTGGTGAAACCCACGAGCACGGATTTCGTGCTGAAAAACCTAGAAACGTTATCGGAGACTCGAACCACGATCATAGGTTTCTGGCGTGCTAAAGGGACGCAACTCTGCACAGCTACTTGCGGTACCTTAGACGACCCTTGCACCCGGATAATTATATAAGTAAACGAATAAATAACATATGGGCTTCAGAGTTAGTTATTTTTTAGTGAGTAATCTGACATATTTTTTATTTGGCGAAAAACCAATTTACCGACATGCATTTATTGATAATGAAACCATATCCGACTTACTTATTGGCTTCAGTCAAGCGGAAAGGGCGTGTCTGGATGCTGCTGATGTCGGTGTTGTCACAGATGATACGGGACAGAGATACTTGCTCAAGGGAGGCAATTTGTTCTGGAACAAATGAAAACATCCGTGCACTGAGTGAGAGAGTTTTACGACTCTTGAAGCAATATTCCAGCATAATTATGGGGGAAGGCATCAGAAGTAGACAAATACAGTAAACTACGGTTATAACGAACACGCTTATAACGAACTGACGGATATAACGAAGTTACTTTTTTGGTCCCGACTATTTGCTGTTGTTATACTGTATATATGCTTATAACGAACTACGGTTATAACGAACTAAAATTAGTAGTCCCTTTGAGTTCGTTATAACCGTACTTTACTGTATTGTACCTTTGTTGGGAATCGAATCAGGGCATTCGGCGTGACGAGCCACCACTTTATCTAAAAGGCTACCCCTTGTCCCCTTGACATTACTCCAGAACACCCATGAGTAGAGGTTTACGCAGCTTTAACAATATTCAGTCAAATCAGGACGAGGGACACCAGAAATGGGCTTTACCCATTTTACCTATGTCGAAATCAAACCCGGCCTTTTGCGTGACGATCGAACGCTTTAACCACAATGCCATCCTATCTCCCCTGGGTTGGTGGAGGAATTAAACAAAATAAAAATGACCTACTGATCGACAAAACAAGATTATCATTATTACATACCTGTGGTGAATCCCTTAACTGGATCTGTGGTTTCATACCAGTAACTGTCGCCATATTTCAAATCGGCAAACTGTTCTCCCAGCAAGCAGATGTACAAGCTCCCAACAGCGGCACCGCCAACTGGAGCTTCGGAGACGCCCCCTGTGTACAGATCGATGTCATCAGGGGAACTGAAACCCGTTATATCAGGTGAATCTAACATTGAGAAACTATATACCTAACTGTTTTTGTACTTTGGCAATGTTTTGTTTTAGCTCAATGAAAAGGTTGTATATTTGGTGATGTGAGATTTTAACTCCGCTTCGATCAATATGCGATCGGTTATTTGACGGGTTGTCATCTTCCCGAGGCAAGAGAGTTAACTGACTTTAAAAGTACAGTTATCGAACTTGACGAACTAGGCTGGAATACCTGGGCTCGATCGTAGCGCCACCTGTTGCTATTACGAGCTATGTCCCTTCCATGCATCTCCTATGGACCAATCAGATTCAACCTCTCGCATCACTTGCATTTGGCGGCGCTAAATGGCGGCGCCCAGGCAATACGATCTGATCGATTCTCAAGATCTGAATTGTGATAAAACGGGTCTTTCATCGCGAAGTGCATCAGATCACGTGAGCACCTTCATTAAAACATGAAAAGATTTAGAAAATACCTGTCGACAACGAGTTGGCGGTGCACATGCTTCGCAAATCCTGCAATTGACCGAAATCTGAATGACAGTTTACTAACTGGATTTCGATTTCGTTGCGCAATTTTGATTTGACTATGCATACTCGTTAGTCCAGCTAAAATGTAACTCCATAATACCAGGATAGTTCGGCAAGGGTGGAAAGTAGACTTTCATAGTCAGTTAACTCCCTGAGTTGTCGGCATGATGCGTCTTCCCGAGACAAAGAAGTTAACTGACTGTAAAAAGTGAGTTAACTCGCTTGCCTCGGGAAGATGGCATTATGTCGCAAAGTTGGGGGATCCCACATCCCCAGCCAACCCCAGACCGCTCCATCCCCAAGGCGTTTTGTTTCTATTACTTGGTTTACAGAACCAGGCTAGTTAAGAGATTTTGCATCAACGCTTATCAAGTCGGATAATCACTCATCAAAATAAAAAAGTACAAACTGCTTCCATACGCAGCCAGTAAACTGGTACAAGATTAATGACCAGTTTAATCACATACTCATAGCTCTACTTCACCAGTACTCAGTGTGTGGTGTTGTTCCCATTCATCTCTATAAAATTATCATTCTGATACAATTGAATAAAATGCACAGAATAAAATTAAAGAACTTAAAATTAAAAGTGAAAATCATATTTTTCTCTCATCCTAACGAAACTTTAAAATGCATAAAATATTTATTTGAAGAGTCTAATCTTTTGCCTTTTTGCGTTACGTATTGGAAAGGTTCAACTTACGTGTATGTCCTTTCTATGTCTCTTCCCGCTCGACCAGAAAATACGTTATTGGTGGGATAAGTAACATTTGGCAGCTGGCAGTAATGTCTCCAGGCGTTATAGGCAGGGAGCCCATGGTCTCGGCCTCTCTGGATGTTGAGAGACACGATGTCCAACCCAGACTCGGCCGTGGTTTCAAACAAATGGTTCCTCATCTCGTCCGAGTACCATGCATCAACTCTCTCATTCGCTCCACCAAGAAGGCCTTCAAAGATGGAATTAATGTTTTTTCGGACGTAGGAAGGCCTGTTGTACATTTTTGTCAAAGAAACGTCATCATTTTCAAAACGCATAGTCTTTGGGATCATTGTATGTCCAAATCTGAACGACGCCGTCGAGAAGACGTTTGCAAGACTTGGGTCGACGGTCTGGTCATACGAGTAGTCACCGGAAGTAAGACCGTGTAAGGTCATGGCGTCCCTTCCGATGATTTCCGGTAGCCATTGGTTGTACGTGATGACCTGCAGCTGTGCCCCTACAATCTTCCTGGCTTCGTTGAAGAGAGTTTCGTGAGACCAGGAGGGCTGCAGGGAAGCCAAGGTCGTGGCAATGCGATTGTGTTCGCGGACGAAGAGGGTGTGGAGTGCAGAGAGACCAGGGAAGACGTTCACACGACTATCACCTGGTAAAGAACCACAATAATAATAATAATAACAACAACAACAATAATAATAAAAATATACTCTTAAAAAAACCCGAGAAGCCAGATTTGTGTGAGATAGGACAATACATTTATACGAGGAACCGTACAAAGTATTGAGCTGAAGTGTTGTGGCATGATTGTAGTCATGTCAGTTATCGGTACATAGGAAAAGTCCAAGGTGAAGGTCATCTACCATCAATAACGCGTATGTCCCCCGTTGGAATCGATAGTGGCCTGACATCTCCTGCCCATGGAAGAGACGAGTATCAGAATCACATCCTCGGGAATGAGAGCCCGATTAGCCTGCAACGCAAAATCCAACTGCTGCATCGTCTGGGGTTGTGGTTGACGTCGGCGTAGCCGTCTATCCAATTCATCCCACGGGTGCGCTATCGGGTTCATATCCGGGGATCTGGAGGGCCAGGGGAGAACATGAACGTTGTTGTGTACACAGGCTCTTGTGATCCGTGCCGCATGTGCTCGGGCGTTGTCCTGCTGGAATACACCGTTGCCGTTGGCTGCAATTGGGAGGACGTGTGGTAGGAAAATTTCGTTGATGTATCGTTGAGCCGTAAGATTGCCCTGAATATGGACGAAACCTGTCCTGCCATGATGTGAGATAGTCGTCCACATCATAACGCTACCCCCACCAAACCTGTCCACTTCCTGTACTTCCCGGCGTAACGTTCTCCTCGACGTCTGTAACCCGTGCTCTTCCATCCCCTCGACGGAGGAGAAATCTTGATTCGTCGCTGAACCAGACATCTCTCCATCGCAGCTGAGGCCATACCCTGTGTTGACGACACCAATGCAGTCGGATGTAGCCATCTTGGGCTGGGGTGGTTACTCTTGGTCGTCCCGACTTTGGCCGATCACGTGTTGACCCATACTGTTGAAACCGATCCCATAGCCTTGTGATGGTGCTGGGCGCTACATTGACGACCCTGGCTACAGCTGATCGGGATTCCCCTGCCTGCACGTCTTTGCACTTCTGTTAATCTTGGCATGTTCTTGAACTGTCACTGTTCGATTGACGCAGATGGCAGGCAATCAAAAACCCTGCACCCTGTACCGTTCAAAGTGGCCCCTTTGTTAATGCACTGGGTGCGTTTTTTCCGAATCGTACGTGTTTCCCGACTCATGGTTTGCATGGTGTTGTGATTATTTAGATCCGGGAAATTTGTCACTGACACTATAACACATTAAATATCTTCATGTTGCACCCTTGGTCTGTTAATTTTGCATTTATGGCCAAAAATATCCGCATTGCGTTTCTTTTTTTTAGGAATATATAAATATATGTATATAATAATAGTAATAATAAGTTTACTGCTTCGCCAAGAGAAGTGTGATCGCCTTACCAAATCGATCAGTGAATAAATGTTCATTAACGCTGCAGTCAGCAATATTGCGCTCTGAAAATGTTTCTTTGTTGCATGAATTCTCTGACTTCTAATTTGTTTCTATAATAAATTAATTTATGTGACAGCGATACGATGAATAGCCTTTGGTTCTCATCATGCTGCTTAGATTGTGTCATTTGAAACCCCCACTCGAGAACACTAACCTGCAAGGAAACAGTAATCAGCTGTGTCGTCGGGGTCAAGGGCGCACGCTGTCTCCTCTCCAGCTGGCAGCAGGTTGTCTGGCGTCACCTTCAGAAGACCTGTAGCAAGGTTATAGGAGTCAGTGAGTTGGGTTCAATGCAACCCAGTCATCTAATTAAGGCCTTAAGCAGAGTTACGTCCTTTAGCTTGTTGGGGTTCTCGCTCTCTCCCCTCTCTCCAACACAGAAGGCTCACACGCTCCCGCCTTCACTCACTCACTCCTTCACTCAGACACTCCTTCACTCACGCACTCACGGACCCACACAAAACCACCTTCCGACTCACTCATTCACTCACTCGACTGGTGAAGATCCGGGGTAGAATAGGTCTTCAGCAACCCATGCTTGCCGTAAAAGGCGACTATGCTTGTCGTAAGAGGCGACTAACTGGAACGGGTGGTCAGGATCGCTGACTTTGATGCATGCCATCGATCCCAATTGCGTGGGTCGATACTCATGTTGTTAATAGCTGGATTGTCTGGTCCAGACTCGATTATTTACAGACCGCCGTCATATAGCTGGAATCTTGCTGAGTGGGGTGTTAAACAACAAACAACAACAACACTCACTCACTCACTCGCAGTCTGCCTTGTAAAGAGAGTATCAAAGATGGTGGACAGCAGGATACTAACCGCCTGTGAGGTCAATGAGTTGGGCCGTCTCAACAGTACTGGCACCATAGATCTGGGAACCATCGATGAATGAAGTCAAAGAGTTCTTCTGTTCCCGGGGAGCTGGAATAAATCATGCATACACAAATGTAACTGTCATTGAGTATACGTCCTGTTAGAGGTAAAGAGAGGTGTCGTACAGGAATATATATATATAGGGGATCGAACCACCGACCTTCCGTTCTCCGTCTAGAAGATCTATCCACAAGACCATGAAAGCGACCGATGTGTTAGAATATATCCCTGCTTGTCGTGAGAGGCGACTGGATTGGATCGGGTTGATTGTGTGTCATCGTACCCGATAACGTCGGACGTTGCTCATGATATCAATCACCAGTTTTGCCTGGTGCAATCCCGATTTCTTACAAGACGCAATGATAAAGCTGGTACAGTAAACTACGGTTATAACGAACTCAAAGGGACCACTAATTTTAGTTCGTTGTAGCCGTGGTTCGTTATAAGCATATATACAGCATAACTACAGCAAATAGTCGGGACAAAAAAGTAAGTTCTTTATATCCGTCAGTTCGTTATAAGCGTGTTCGTTATAACCGTTGTTTACTGTATATTGCTAGCCGTAATACCAACAAACAAATACCAGCCGCGGCGGTGCCTTACCTCCGGGGGCTACTTCAGCTGGCTCGGAGCGGACAAAGTTCATGCAGTCCTTGGTGGGGAAATGGGCATCTCGGAATGGCAGGGAAATCGGGAAACAAGGGTTACTTGGACTGGAAACGTCAAGCAGGACATCATTGGAAATATATAATTTACTATGGTTATGTGATAGATATGTTTATGTTTTTACGTTTGATACAAGGAACTCTATTTGATCACAAATTACACTCAGCGTCATTATTGAATCTATACAAACAAGTGACAATAGGGCAGTGAGTGGTTTCGCGCCGCTTTTAGCAATATTCGAGGAATATCACGGCGGGGGACACCCGAAATGGGCTTCACACATTGTACCCATGTCGGGAATAGAACCCGGGTCTTCGGCGTGACGAGCGAACGCTTTAAACACTAGGCTACCCGACCGCCCCTATAAATAAATAAATAAATAAATAAATAAATAAATAAAAAATAAAATAAATAAATAAATAAAAAATAAATAATTAAAAATAAAAATAAATAAATAAATAAATAAATAAATAAATAAATAAATAAATAAATAAATAAATATATTGTTTCTGCCTATATCAGTATGACTGGATGCTGTAATTGTAATGGAACTGCACTCTTGAAAGTTGAAAATGCGACGTTTTGTCGGGGGATGGGAGGGGGTGTGTGTCTTGTACAGAAACCGGTGTCACCGTGTAACTCTCTCTCTCTCTCTCTCTCTCTCTCTCTCTCTCTCTCTCTCTCTCTCTCTCTCTCTCTCTCTCTCAACCCTCTCTCTCAACCCTCTCTCTCTCTCTCTCAACCCCAGACCCAGACCCTCTCTCACCTTGGACACTCCCTTACCCTGGACCCTCTCAAACCCCAGACACGCTCTCTCGCGTGGCAGCAGTTGTCTCTCTGTATGTCTTTTATTATATGCGTGACCCCTCAACAAGGACGCTAAGTACACTACTTTCACTAAGAAAATGTAAAAAACTATAAAAGGAAGATGGTTATAACGAGGGTCCAACTCACTCTGTTGTCGCGTCTTCAAGGGCATTGCAGCACTCGATCTTGTCACCATTGTCTAATGAAGAGTAAGACAAATATAAACGTCATTTGTCATAGTAACGACTGATGGAGGCGTGGATGCAGCGTAATAGCTTATTTCCCGATGTCAGTAGGCTAACATTGATAATTAATTATTCGTTTTTAATTAATTCGGATTCGTTTTTATCCAAAACACCTTGTTCAAGCAGAAATGTGAGTATCAATTCATAAAAGAAATCATATCAGACACTAATCAGAGTTACCTCCCTTCATTCCTAAACAAGTTAACCTCGGTCATGATGGGCGTCTTTGGCTTTTCCATACTACTACTACTACTACTACTACTACTACTACTACCAAGAACAATAACAACAATAATCCATGTTTAAAATCTAAATTTGTTTTAACGTGTTTACGGTGAGGTTGTGTTTAGGTGGTGTTTTGGCTGTGAGACGATCGTCCATTTCATATGTTTAGACCTAACTGCATTTTGATAGAACACACCAAATGACTTGTCTTTTGTGAACAATGATTCGAATAGTATATCAACCACAACGTTCAAGAAATTGCATTGTGTGATGAAGGCCCCACAGCTTGTTTGTTTGTTTGTTGTTTAACGCCGCACTCAGCAATATTCCAGCTATATGACGTCGGTCTGTAAATAAGTGAGTCTGAACCAGGAACTCCAGTGAATGACATCATGAGCATCGATCCACGCACTTGGGGTACGATGACATGCATCAACCAATTCAGCGATCCTGACCACCCGATCCCGTAAGTCGCATCTTACGACAAGCATGGGTTGCTGAGGACCTATTCTACCCCGGATCTTCACGGGTCCGTGATATAACTGACCTTCTCTTCAAGGGCACGTCGAACTATACTCACTCATTTCATTTCACTATGCTTGTCGTAAGGGTGGTCAGGCTCGCTGACTTGGTTGATGCATGTCATTGTATCCCAGTTGCAAAAATCGATGCTCGTGATGTCAATCACTGGATTATCTGGTCCAGACTCGATTATTTACGGACCGCCGTCATATAGCTGGAATATTGCTGTGTGCGGCGTTAAACAACAAACAAACAAACAAACAAACAAACAACGTTATATCACGGCGTGATCGCCTGATATGGGCGGCCATCCCCAAGTGATGCAGGTCTCAGACAGACGTTCTAATCGGACGTGTGGCACTTACTTGTAGTGACAGGAGTACCCGTCAAGTCGTGGTCAAGGAACTGTCCCCATTGCATAGCCATCACACTGAGGCGGTTTGACGTCCGGTTCAGCTCGAAGTGGACATTATTGCTGACCGTTCGTGCAGTCGGCAAAGGTACCCCGGATGCTGTGTTGAGGCGTGGAGTGCCATTCGCTGGAAAAGACATTACAGTGAACTAGCATAACTACAAATGTTTACGCACAATATAAGTAAGTCAGTGGGTTTCGTTTGACGCCGCTTTGACAGTATTCCAATCATATCAGTGAGTGAGTATGGTTTTACGCCGCTTTTAGCAATATTCCAGCAATATCTCGGCGGGGGACACCAGAAATGGGATTCACACATTGTACCCATGTCGGGAATCGAACCCGGGTCTTCGGCGTTACGAGCGAACGCTTTAACCGCTCGGCTACCCGACCGCCCCCCAATCATATCACGGCGTGTCAGCTTACTGTGAGGAAAACCCAAAACGATGCAGACATTTACCACTTTGGTGAAACCCACGAGCACGGGTATGGTGCTGACAAACCTATAACGAAGTCAAGGCTAATGTGAGATTCGAACCCACGATCAATGGGTCCTGGCACGAAACAAGGGTATAAAGTAATGGTCCTTTAACTATTCTGCACGTGGGGGCACGGGTGGCCCAGTCGCCTAAGGCGGCGCGATTCGCTGTGCAGAGTTGCGTCCCTTGGGCATGCAAGAAACCTATGATTATGGGTTCGAATCCCGGTTCGCCCCGATTCTGATTCTAGGTTTGTCAGCACCATACCCGTGCTCGTGGGTTTCACAGAAGTAGTAAACGTCTGAGACCTGCATCACTTCGGGCTTTCCTCCCACATTAAGCTGACACGCCGTGATATAACTGGAATACTGTAAAAAGCGGCGTAAAACCCAACTCACTCCCTCACTATTCTGCACGTACCAAACATTAACCGGCCGGAATGCAGGCCTTCCATAAACAGTATCTGGTTTAACAGGGTTTCGCTCTTTTTTAAAGGTCCTACTCTTTCTAGTCCATATATTTAACTATCGCTATGAACCAATTGATGGATAACAACCTCGATGCAAGCATTGACTCATCGGCACATATGTAACTCCGATTTTTAAGTTACTAAATGTTATTCAACTTTTATTGCATTTAGGACATTTAATACAGGCTCTTTTATCGTGACTTTTTTCATACTAATCGTGTAGGAAGGATGGTTTTATATTTTATACATAAACTTTATCAAGTTATCAACTCTCCTCCATGGCAAGCAGGTCGTGCACCCGACATTGTTCGGGTGTTTGTCGTTTACAAAATGGGGTATTCATCTTTTAAAAGAACAATGAATGTCGGTTTATACATACGATAAAAACACAACATTTTGAGAGATGTAAGAAAACACGTGTCCGGGGAAACAAGGGCTCCGCCCCGGGTTACTTCTTAAATCTCATAAATACTATTTACATTTAACCTTCTCACATACCATCATTGTACACCGCCGGTAAGACTCGCCTGAAGTTCCGGTTGACGGAGCCCCACAAGGGGTTGTTCATGTTGTTGCACACGCCGTCTATTGTCCTGAAGCGACTGGCCTCGCAAGTCTGCCGCCTGTAACACATCAATACATTCATCACCACTCGCCCCTTTCCGTAACCTGCAAGAAGACTCGTCCCCCTATCGATGAATTTTATGTTCGAAAATACGACAAACCAATCAGAATGCGCGTATGACTTCAAGTTCTTCGTCAAAGAATCCCTCAGGAATAATTTTTGATTTTACATATGTTTTGCATCTAAAAATATACCCAAGACACAGTTAAATGTGTTCAATCATACTGTATAATTCCGTATGCCCCGATGCTTTAAATTGCATCTGAAATATATATGATATATGTGGAAATATATGTGAACCATTACGCAACGAGTTGACAATTGTTTAAGGTATGCACGTTTGCGCTAAGACATCAATAGGCTTAAACCTACAGGCTAGTTCTGGAATATATTCTTGTACCTCTTCACGTTTTTCAAAACTGACTTGGCACCGTTGATGATTTTATTTGTTATTATTTTATTTCTTATTTCGGCTACTAATCTGTCAAAACTTTTTTATGCATCACGTGACCTGTCTTAGCCTCGCTCTGAAGCTCGAGATGCGAAAACAAACTTTCTCATTTTGTGTGTTTTCGCAGTTAATTCCACTCACTTGACAAATCCGGACGTGTGGCCCGAGTCTGTACGTGGACTGCTGGCGATCTGACCCGCCGACTCAGCGTCGTATACTGTTGGTAGGATCGACTTCTTGCTCGCTGGAAAAGAAGGAAGCATGTTCAGTGGTAAGTTTGGACCACCTCAGTGGGGATGTTTCAAAGAAGGCTCGACACCGGCCGTGTTAGTACAAAAATGGTCATACAAACCTGTCACCCATTCAAGCCATTCAACGTTAAACCTGATTATAGCGAAACCCCGTTAAACCGAACCCTGGCAGTCCGGAAACCCACTTTCCGGACAATTACTGCTGCGCACGTATACATAAAAGTTTGTTTGGTTGTTTTTTAACGAAGCAATCGGCAATCGAATCTAGATCAGACAAACACCTTTTTGACATTATGGGTATTGATCCACGTAACTCCGATACGATGACCAGTATCAACCATGTCAGCGAGCCATGCTACTGATCCCGTCAACTCTCACCGGAGCTTCACGGGGTTGTCTACATAAACACACGCGGACACCACTCAGTCAGTGAATCAGTGAGTCAGTGAGTGAGTCAGCGAGCGAGTGAGTGAGGTTTTACGCCGCTTTTAGCAATATTCAAGCAATATCGCGGCGGGGGACACCACAAATGGGCTTCACACATTGTACCCATGTCAGGAATCGAACTCGGGTCTTCGGCGTGACGAGCGAACGCTATAACCACTAGGCTACCCGACCGCCCGACACCACTCAGTATCTGTGACTGATCAATCAAGAAATGTCATTAAGAAAACACGTCGCTGTTATTGCACTTATTACAAAGGTCTTTAACCATCGTATTGACTGAAAAGGTGAGATGAGGTGAACTGGGGGTTAACTTATATAGCGACGTGCATGCACGTGTGTGTGTCTGTCTCTGCTGAGGCCGATTTTATAGTGCCAGTCAACTGAGATGACATGTCGCAGTTTAACATGAATACCCCACTCAGACACAGCATACTGACTCCGAGACGACCAGTCCTTATTTTTGCCCCTTAATGCCAAGAGCCAGGCAGGGTAATAACAAGTTCTATCTTTTAACGTCGTTGGTATGACACGACCGGTATCGAAACCCGGACCTTCCGCTCTCCGGGCGGACGCTCTACCACTAGACCACGGAGGCGGTTATTTTTATTTATGTACTGAAGAACAAAGGGAAGTTCAGTATATAATAATGGCTTCCAGTCTGTCATAAAATCTATATCTACACAATAAAACATCAGGTGAAATATTGCTATCTGACGTGTCACTAGTAAGGAAATAAGCCTCGTCATCTCCTTGTACACACAAGCTCCATGTGTCAAGAAAAGACATCTTCCCGAGGCAAGGGAGTCAATTGACAATAAAAGTCGAGTTTCCGTCCTTGCCGAACGAGGCTGGAATTCCGGAGTTACATTTTGGCTGGACTAACGGGTCTCTGCATAGTCCAATCAAAGACCTATATACGTCCGTGGTCCAATCGAAATCGCGTAACGAACTAGACATCCGGTTCGTAAACAACATGGATTTCAGTATGCAGATGTTTCGTCGACTGCAGGTTTTGCAAAGCATGTTTCCAAATCTTTTCATGTTTTAAATCAAAGTGCTAACGTGATTTGATGCCCTTCGCGGGGTAAGATCCGTTTTATAACAATATAGATCTGAATTATCGATCAGATCGACTTGACGGGGCGCCGCCATTTTGTTTGAGGCAAATGCAAACGATATGAGCGATGGAATCTTATTGGACAATAGGAGGGACATAGAAGGGACGTAAGTCGTAATACCCACTGGTGGGGCTACGACGGACCTGGAAATTCCAGTCTAGTTCGGCAAGGATGGAAACTGGACTTTCATACTCAGTGAACGAGCTTGCCTCGGGAAGATGTGAAAAGAGAGCGTCTGTTCAGAAAGCGGTAGCTCGATGGTTGGACGTTATAAAATATGGTACTCGCTGTTTCCTGCCCTGACGCTCGGTCGAGGACTGGTCCACTCGGGGATAGTATAATGTGTCTGAGAAGGATAGCCATTTTAATCTGCGGTATGGTATCTCAGTGGGCGAGCTCTATAAAACCGGGCGTTAATTTGGACTATATGAACTGAGTGGCAAACGATAGTATACCACGTTGTTAAATTTGATTATGTGTAGGATAAAACACGTCAGAGGGTTTTTATGAGATTTAAAACCCGAATTCATTGGATAAAATCGAGTTTTATCCAGAGGATGAGGGTTTAATTCTCATAAAACCCGAGTGCAAGTGTTTCAAACATACTTTCCTTGATCCCTAGGAAACGGGCGTAAAATATGTGTTGCTGGCGTAAGGGTAGGAAAGGACATTCTTAAAAGTATTGTAAGTCATCAGTGCGTCTGCAGCTTTGTGGTACACTCTCTGAACGACAGGTACGAAGGTTGCATCTTCGAACCGCAGGAATATAAAGTTGTTTGTCATTTTATATTTCATTTCATTACACTGTGTTCAAATGCAATACAGATTTCTTGCAAACAGTCATAAACTTTACCAACTGAAAACTGAAAACTGAAAACTGAAAATTTCAGACAAATTATAAAAATTTTTTCGATGAAGTCTATCTAAAACACATAACCTAAATACAACAATAGTGTATGCAGAAAATGTTAATCGTCTGTTACATGTTTGCGAGATAACACGCGAAAAAGTGAAAAACACGTGCACCACGGACAACTGCAAATGCACGTACGGGTAAGGGTATAAAACGATTGCAACAGCAAGTCAGACATCCACAGTGATAAAAAAACACAAAAGAAATGCCACGACTCACAGTCGAACAACGTGAACGAGCCTTGGGTATGGTACACATGGGAGCCACCCACGCCCATATTGCACTAACCCTCGGTTGCTCCCGTGTTGCCGTTACCAACTTGATGCAACGTTACAGACAGACAGGGCGGACCGCTGACAGGCCAAGAACAGGCAAACCCAGGGCGACCACGCCCCATGATGACCGGTACTTGCGTACCTTGCACCTCCGAAATCGCTTCCTGACAGTGACGTCTTCGGCGACAAATGCCTTAGGTCACAGGGTTAGTCGACAGAAAGTGGCCAGGAGACTCAGTGCTCATGGAATCAGGGCTTTTAGACCATACAGAGGACAGCTATTGACAGCGCAACATCGTCGTCTGCGATTGAGATGGGCCCAGACTGTACGACGTTGGCAACGACGTGACTGGCAGAGGGTTGTCTTCACTGACGAAAGTCTATTCTGTATGTTTAGGGCTGATGGAAGACAACGTGTTTACCGCCGTGGTCACACACGATACTAATGACTTGTTATTGAACGTGAACGATTGTTTATGTACTCTGCCTATTGTCCATGATTCTGAAAGCACGAGTTTTGTACCACACCCAACTTTGGGGGGCTCTGACGTCATTCTCGGTCGCGGTATGATTGTCATTTTCAGTGTTGGTTATGTGGATATATTGATCTTCTCAATACACTTTACTTCATGCATGTATGTTTTGTTATTTTTGAGCAAGAGTGATTTCAAACTCTGGTAAAGTTTCTTTTGGACGTCAGTTATTACAATATGAACGGAACTTGTATTTAATAAAATCCCCGGGATGGTATATAAACCGGGATGGTTTATGAGATATAACCCCGCTAGAAATCAATAGGATGACGTCACTGGAAGTTTATTTATTTTCAGTAAAGTACGGTTATAACGAACTCAAAGGGACTACTAATTTTAGTTCGTTATTACCGTAGTTCGTTATAAGCATATATACAGCATAAATACAGCAAATAGTCGGGACCAAAAAAGGAAGTTCGTTATAACCGTAGTTTACTGTATTTAACCATCACTCATTACTGCAACATTTGCTTCAGTAATCAGTGTCGGGGTAATTTTGTGTAAAAATACATTGGTTCAATGAAGACTGGGGTAAAGAAATGAATTAGCGACCACATGGCCATGGCCCCTACCATGTTTGAAATCAGCAGTTGTGATTTAAGCTAAATAACATAAATTTTTTAAACGTTTTAAATCATATTTTTATTTTTTTAAATAAATCTACGTGGAAGTATAATGTGAATGCTGACTAAGCGCCAGTACATTTAATTTTTTTAATATAATATCGCTTCCTTAAGATATTTTTAATTAAAAAAATTAATGATAAAAATATTGCTTCGTTTGATCCTCAGTTTAGTACAAGCAGCCACACACGTCGCTATGGGAGTGGAACATCTTGAAAGCCACGTTAACTCAATTTTATCTCACCTCATGAAATGCTCATTGAAATGTCGCATTGAATGCCCGTTCTCATATTTATGCGAGTCAGAATATTTATATTGGTACTTACAAGGCTCACATCGGCAAGGAATGCGTTTTACATAAATCGCTTCCATACCTGTTTATCTAAGCTGACATTGTGACATACAGCAAAACCTCGTTCCTCCGGACGGTTACGTTCCCACTGAATATACCTGGACTAACGAGGGTCCATATTAAGGAATATAGGATACGTAGTAATATCTCGCTGAATCAGAACTTTTAATATTTTCTAAGGGATATGTCCGGAAAATGTTATTGTTTGGGGAAGAAGTTGAAACTGCTGAGGAATATCTTGGAGTGTTATTTAGTGGGAATCGGTAACACTTTCTGTTGTGAGTTACCTCCCGTTGGAAGCGGTTGTTGTTATCACAGCTCCAAGAAACATCGAAAAAAAGATGTGAAAGGAATGAGTAAAGGAGTTGGGTTTAACGCCGCTTTTAACAGTAGTCCAGTCATATCACGGCGTGTCAGCTTAATGTGGGAGGAAAGCCCGAAGTGATGCAGGTCTCAGACGTTTACCACTTCAGTGAAACACACGTGCACGGGTATGGTGCTGACAAACCTAGAAACATAATCGGGGCGAACCGGGATTCGAACCTAAAATCATAGGTTTCTTGCATGCCCAAGGGACGCAACTCTGCAAAGCGAATCGCGGCGCCTTAGACGACTGGGCCACCCGTGCCCCCAGATGTGAAAGGAAGGTCCATAAGTGACAAAACTCTACTCAATAAGCATGGGTGTTCGATTGATAGTGGGAATGAAATTGCAGATCAAATTACTGGAGCAATGCTTTAGGAATTCACAAATATTAAACAATTCGATATACCTGTTGATTGCGAATTAAACTTATTTGATCATCTTATAAAACCAATATTACTATACGGGTCAGAAATATGGGGATATGAAAACATATTATTTTGGAACGGGTACATTTAATTTCTGTAAATATATCTTTAACGTCAAACATTCGACATCTGATTTGTATGTCTATGGGGACCGTGGTAGCTATCCAATTGAACGTTTTGTTAAGGTTAAAGCTGTAAACTTCAGGGCTATATTACCTACCAATGTAGATAGATTCTCTTATATTATATACTGCACACTGTTTAGTTTGTCGTCTGATACGAAAGTTGATTTTTTATTCTTTCAGAAAATGTGAAATATATTCTAAATGAAACCGGCTTTTCCTACATCTGGTATAATCTTCTTTTTTTTTAAAATGCAACTTTGCTTACAAATAATGTAAAACTTGTATTAATGGATCAATTGAGACAATGCTTACTATAACTCAATTCAAAATTCTTCAAACGGAAAATATTATCAGTGTAAAGAAAACTTGAATACAAGTATTCGACCCAATCTTTTGAATTTACTCTTTAATCTTCGAAAGTCGCCTTTACGGGACGCATGGGTTGCTGAAGACCAATTCTACCCCGGATCTTCACGGGTCCTGAGTGTTCTATACATCTGATTAATAACAATGGTCAAACTCTTCCATAATAATACGTTTTACCAATCTCATGTTAATAACCATTGATGAAAATAGTTCTGTACACGCTAAAAAAGTATTCATAATGTCTTACCAACAGCTGTAATTAAAATGGCGAACAGAGTCCATCTCCCTCTCGTCATGGTGGCCGTCATGCTTGCGATACAGTGTCCTATTTCTACAGTACTTATATGGACTTTTCCTACCCCCGGGGTACACCCTGTTTCATCAGGCCATCGCGGTATCCGATATATAATGAACTTATGTTGCCGTCATGGCCACGTGACATAGTACGCGTTGATTAAAAAGATTTGTGAAGGCGATTGCGGTTCATGGGCTATTTCGTAAGTAAAGATCCAATAAGGATTATCTCAAATGCAATCTTATTTAGCAGCCCCAATAATTATGTTCGCTGTTGATATTGTATGTAACAAAGCTGGCGGACGTTGGGATAAGTGGCGAAATGGGTTTGTTTGTACGTTATGTAACGCCACACAGTAATGTTCCAGTTAGTGTAAGGGCGTTCTGTATATAATCGACTCTATACATTACGAACCGTTGTTTGATATTATTAGCTTCCATCCACGTCGTCGGTATTCGATGACACGAAAACAAGAAACCCAATCAATACAATGTTCCAGTGTTCAAGGTCCCAATGAGTACAAGTTCCAATGTACAAGGTCCCAGTGAGTACAATGTACAATTTACATGACCTAATGAGAACAATGTACCAATAGTACCAATAGTGTTCCAACGTACAAGGTCCCAATGAGTACAATGTTCCAATGTACAAGGTCCCAATGAGTACAATGTTCCAATGTACAAGGTCCCAATGAGTACAATGTAGAATGTACTTGTCCTAATGAGTATAATGTACCAATACTGTTCCAATGTACAAGGTCCCAATGAGTACAATGTTCCAATGTACAAGGTCCCAATGAGTACAATGTTCCAATGTACAAGGTCCCAATGAGTACAATGTTCCAATGTACAAGGTCCTAATGAGTACAATGTAGAATGTACATGTCCTAATGAGTACAATGTACCAATAATGTTCCAATGTACAAGGTCCCAATGAGTACAATGTACAAACAGTGTTTCAATGTACAAGGTCCCAATGAGAACAATGTTCCAATGTACAAGATCTCAATGAGTACAATGTACAATGTACAAGGTCCCAATGAGTACAACGTTCCAATGTACAAGGTCCCAATGAGTACAATGTAGAATGTACATGACCTAATGAGTACAATGTACCAATTGTGTTCCAATGTACATGGTCCCAATGAGTAAAATGTTCCAATGTACAAGGTCTCAAGGAGTACAAATTACAATGTTCCAATGTACATTGTCCCAATGAGTACAATGTACAATGTACATGATCCCAATGATTACAATGTACCAATAATGTTCCAATGTACAAGGTCTCAATGAATACAATGTACCAATAATGTTCCAATGCACAAGGTCCCAATGAGTACAATGTACCAATAATGTTCCAATGTACAAGGTCCTTATGAGTACAATGTACCAATAATGATCTAATGTACAAGGTCCCAATGAGTACAATGTACCAATGTGTTCCAATGTACAAGGTCTCAATGAGTACAATGTACCAATAATGTTTCAATGCTCAAGGTCCCAATAAGTACAATGTACAAGGTCCCAATGAATACAACGGTCCAATGTACAAGGTCTCTATGAGTACAATATACAAGGACTCAGTGAGTACAATGTACAATGAACAAGGTCCCAATGAGTACAATGTACAAGGTCCCAATGAGTACAATGTATCAATGTACAAGGTCCCAATGAGTAGAATTTACGATGTAAAAGGTCCCACTGCGTACAATGTACAAATGTACAAGGTCCCAATGAGTACAATATACCAATGTACAAGGTCCCAATGAGTACAATGTACAAGGTCCCAATGAGTACAATATACCAATGTACAAGGTCCCAATGCGTACAATTTACAATGTACAAGGTCCCAATGAGTACAATGTACAAGGTCCCAATGAGTACAATGTATAAATGTACAAGGTCCCAATGAGTAGAATTTACGATGTAAAAGGTCCCAATGCGTACAATGTACAAATGTACAAGGTCCCAATGAGTACAATATACCAATGTACAAGGTCCCAATGAGTACAATATACCAATGTACAAGGTCCCAATGCGTACAATGTACAATTTACAAGGTCCCAATGAGTAAAATGTTCCAATGTACAAAGTCTCAAGGAGTACAAATTACAATGTTCAAATGTACATTGTCCCAATGAGTACAATGTACAATGTACATGATCCCAATGATTACAATGTACCAATAATGTTCCAATGTACAAGGTCTCAATGAATACAATGTACCAATAATGTTCCAATGCACAAGGTCCCAATGAGTACAATGTACCAATAATGTTCCAATGTACAAGGTCCTTATGAGTACAATGTACCAATAATGATCTAATAAACAAGGTCCCAATGAGTACAATGTACCAATGTGTTCCAATGTACAAGGTCTCAATGAGTACAATGTACCAATAATGTTCCAATGCTCAAGGTCCCAATAAGTACAATGTACAAGGTCCCAATGAATACAACGGTCCAATGTACAAGGTCTCTATGAGTACAATATACAAGGACTCAGTGAGTACAATGTACAATGAACAAGGTCCCAATGAGTACAATGTACAAGGTCCCAATGAGTACAATGTATCAATGTACAAGGTCCCAATGATTAGAATTTACGATGTAAAAGGTCCCAATGCGTACAATGTACAAATGTACAAGGTCCCAATGAGTACAATGTACAAGGTCCCAATGAGTACAATATACCAATGTACAAGGTCCCAATGCGTACAATTTACAATGTACAAGGTCCCAATGAGTACAATGTACAAGGTCCAAATGAGTACAATGTTTCAATGTACAAGGTCCCAATGAGTAGAATTTACGATGTAAAAGGTCCCAATGCGTACAATGTACAAATGTACAAGGTCCTAATGAGTACAATATACCAATGTACAAGGTCCCAATGAGTACAATATACCAATGTACAAGGTCCCAATGCGTACAATGTACAATGTACAAGGTCCCAATGAGTACAATGTACAAGGTCCCAATGAGTACAATATACCAATGTACAAGGTCCCAATGAGTACAATGTATAAATGTACAAGGTCCCAATGAGTAGAATTTACGATGTAAAAGGTCCCAATGCGTACAATGTACCAATGTACAAGGTCCCAATGAGTACAATGTATCAATGTACAAGGACCCAATGAGTAGAATTTACGATGTAAAAGGTCCCAATGCGTACAATGTACCAATGAACATTGTCCCAATGAGTACAATGTACAATGTACATGATCCCAATGATTACAATGTACCAATAATGTTCCAATGTACAAGGTCTCAATGAATACAATGTACCAATAATGTTCCAATGCACAAGGTCCCAATGAGTACAATGTACCAATAATGTTCCAATGTACAAGGTCCTTATGAGTACAATGTACCAATAATGATCTAATGTACAAGGTCCCAATGAGTACAATGTACCAATGTGTTCCAATGTACAAGGTTTCAATGAGTACAATGTACCAATAATGTTCCAATGCTCAAGGTCCCAATAAGTACAATGTACAAGGTCCCAATGAATACAACGGTCCAATGTACAAGGTCTCTATGAGTACAATATACAAGGACTCAGTGAGTACAATGTACAATGAACAAGGTCCCAATGAGTACAATGTATAAATGTACAAGGTCCCAATGAGTAGAATTTACGATGTAAAAGGTCCCAATGCGTACAATGTATCAATGTACAAGGTCTCAATGTGTGTAATGTACAAGGTCCCAATGAGTACAATGTACAATGTACAAGGTCCCAATGAGTACAATGTATAAATGTACAAGGTCCCAATGAGTAGAATTTACGATGTAAAAGGTCCCAATGCGTACAATGTATCAATGTACAAGGTCTCAATGTGTGTAATGTACAAGGTCCCAATGAGTACAATGTACAATGTACAAGGTCCCAATGAGTACAATGTTCCAATGTCCATGGTCCCAACGAGTACAATGTACCAATTTACAGATCCAAATGAATATATTGTTCCAATGTACAAGGTCCAAATGAGTACAATGTACCAATGTACAAGGTCCCAATGAGTACAATGTACCAATGTACGCAAGTAAGGGATGCAACTATGTACAGGACCATCCATGACGCACATGGTCAGTGCATGACATGTTGTTATCCTACCATTGTGTATAGGGAGTGTTCCTTATTTCAGTTTCAAGTCCCATCCGACAAAATGAATTATGTGTTCGTGCACAAAACAGATAAACAAAACTTGGCTTCCAACTATATATCAATGTGGGGAACCGAACCGGTTCTATGGCGTGACGAATGGACGCTTTAACCGCTAGACTACCGCAACAACCCTCAAGCTTTACTCATGTATAACAAGGTTGATACATATCGAGTCGCATAATAGCATGGACATGTTAATAAAGGGGCACCACAGCTCTACTAATGCCCAATCAAAATACTCTACACAATGAAGATATTGTGATATCAATCAGATTCGAGACTTCTCCCTCGGGGCCATGATGGAATCTTTCGTCTGGAGAGGTCAGGTGTTTGTTATGTAATAAATTTGATCAGTGCTCCCGAGGACAGGTGAACGCAGCACCAATACACAGTACGTCACACCGTGCCTTCAGTGGAAGTATATTCAAGTAAAGTAACTGAGGTAGATGTCTCACAAGGGATGCCCGTGTAATTACAAATTACAGCTATTGATACCTTACAGGTGTAACGTTGTTGTAGAATAATGATTGTGTTTTGTTGTCATTAGGAGTAGAGCAGATAGTGTGCACACTGAAATAACAAACAGAGTGTTGTGTGAAAAATAAGTTTCAGACAAGGTTGTAGACGAGCATTTCAATAATACGAAAATATGTTTTTATGGTTCGGGGAGAGGGGGTCATTGGCGTCACCCTCTCTCGGAATCTGCTGCCATGCGAAAGAGCGTGTCTGGGGTTTGAAAGGGTCCAGGGTAAGGGAGTGTACAAGGTGAGAAAGGGCCTGGGTCTGGGGTTGAGAGCGTCGGGGTGTGACAGAGTGTCTGGGAGAGAGAGAGAAACAGTGTCCTGAGTGAGAGAGCGTCACTTATATAATTATGCCCCTTGATTGATGTATTCCTATTTAACACGAGATGAACATCATAACCTTTTAATCAGCTTCACCACTTTTTTTCAAACATATTTCGACATTTTCAAATATTTCAGGACAAAATATTTCATAATCCATGAAGTTATTTCTGTGAATAACAAACAATTTCCAATGGCATGTCAGCATCAGCAACGGCAATAAATCTGCTTCCCTGACGAGCAGGTATAGATATGTGTAGTTTAAATATGTCGGTGTCTTTTCTACCAAGATAAAGTCATCAAGTTAATCAGGTAATACTTACACGTAGATGCAGAATAATGACGGATAATTCGTTCTCGAAGATCGTTTGTTAATAGCATCGAGTAGTGGGTAACAATTTACACGGTGACACCGGTTTCTGTGCCAGATCCCTCCCGACAATTGTAACCATGTATAAATCAGTTCTACACATGAAGGCTTCTTACATAGGGTGACTGAGTGGGTTGCTTTTAACGCCGCTTTGAACAGTATTTCAATTATATCACGGCCTTTCAGCTTAATGTGGGAGGAAAGCTCGAAGTGACGCAGGTCTCAGACGTTTACTTGAAAACCACAAGCACGGGTTCTGTGCTGACAAGCCTGGAAATATAATCGCGGTGAACTAGGATTCGAACACACGATCATAGGTTTCTGACGTGCTCAAGGGACCTTACACTACCGGAATTGCGGAATTGCCTTAGACGACTTTGCCAGCTTCTTATGCACACGTGATAAAGAAATGAAAAGAGGTAGCAGGTTCATTTCTGTTCATGTTTATTGTTGAGGTGGTATAAATAAAAACGTATATACATGTATAGTACACATTCGTTCAGTGGCAAACATCCATATCAGTATTTGTCAGATATCATTCTCTTAACAAATTTCAAAAGATTAGACAAATGTTCAATAATGTTATATTAACTCTTATGTACACGTTGACGGTATCTTACAGTCAGTTACTGTCACCATATCCTTTCACAGTAAACGGTTTGTACACTTAGTATACAATGGCCATGACACCAGACGTAGGTCAAGGTTATGTATGAGCTCGATAAAGGTCAAGGTTACATTCAAGGTCAAGGTTTATGCTTTCATCTCCTCCTCGTCCTGTTTGCCCTTCAGTTTGCCGGTGAAGGCCACATAGTTGAACTGGCCCTTAGCGATAGGTGCTTCCTTCCATGTCATTTTTATCTGGATTACAAAAGCCACAGATTAGTATTAATCTAAATAGTATATAAACATATATGTTACTCCATACATTCTGCATCTATGACAATGCAACAATTCATTGATACAACACTACAGTGAAAATCTAGAAGTATTGGTTATAGTTTTTTCGGGACAAGCTGGGTACAAATACTATTTGATGGTGCTAAAAATGATTCTGAATCCCGGAGTTGTCTCCCTTAATCTGTAATGACCTTCAGCTGCATATCTCACTATGAACTGTAGCTGAAGGTTCTGTGTTTCGTAAAACTCACCTCATCTTGGGTAAAGTTGTCTCCCATGTTCTGCAGGAGGTCTTTGATGCTGAAGTTGAGTAAAGGGATTTATAAGGATGGGGAGCTTCAAAGAAACCATGATGCAAATGTGAGTGGTAATGGACAGATTAAATTGATTTTGACGCCTCCTTTGAACAATGGTTCAGTTATATAAGAGTGTTGCAGCTTAATGTAGTACAAAGACAAAGGAAAAGTGACAACAGACCTTGAGTCATACACGATCAAAGTCTGGTTTGAGATGAGGGTAAAAAATTGCCACGTTGGTCTGCACAATAAAACTCAATAAATAGTTAGATTGCAATTCTGTAAACGACATCCTTTTAAAATAATGCTTTGGTAAATTCATAACTTCAAACGGGGTCATTTTATGAATATATACGATTCAATGTGAATGTGAGCCACTCCTTTGTTTGATCAATACCGGAAATTAACAACAATGTATTTGAATTGCTTACTAATCCTCCGGCAGTGTTCCTTTGCCATCTTCGTCAAACATAGCGAAAGCGTTCTTGATTGTTTCTTCCGAATCAGTACCTTGAAGAAGAAAATCAAGTTCATGATTGAAACCGGTTTTAGATTATAGAGTGTACCGTAGGAACATCTTTAAAATCCAGTTCGTTCTGACAGTGTTAAACATTACGTCTCTTGGCGGTCACTTCTTCAGAACATTTACGTCACTGGTTTAATTATTTGAAGACTCTAAGAATACAATGTTTTGTTTGAAGTTATGATTTTGTCAGTAATATTGCAGTGTGGCCTACCTCCCATCTTCTCCCCGAACATGTTGAGGAAGGTGGTGAAGTTGAGGGGACCAGGTGCTTCCTTCAGCATCTCCTGCAGTTCTGCGTCAGATGGAACCTTTCCTGGTGATATCAAGGTTCAGAGTGAGTGAAGAGTTATGTCAAATCAGCATTAACTCGGTTCTGTCTCGACATTATTAAAAATGTTTTTTGCAAAAAGATAGAATAGTCACTGTGGCTGGTATTAAGAATGTCAACCCGCATCAGTAGGATAATTGACATACAACCGTCAAGGTTTACAGTTGAAATGGCCTACCATTCAAATAGACCAAATTTAGACAGGCGTCGTTACCACTAATCACACTATTATAACATTTTTGGACAACGATTCTTAAACTATATAGTCCAAATAAGTGAGTTTATTTAACGCTGATTTGATTAGTGCTTCGAATATATCACAGCAAATATTCCAGCAATATCAGGGCGAGGGACACCAGAAATGGGGTTCCCACATTGTACCCATTAGGGGAATCGAACCTGGGCCTTGAGCGTGACGAACAAAGGATTTAACCTCCATGCTTCCCCACCGCCCTTATTATAGGAAGATATTTAAAACAATTCAATATTAGATCATTCTTACCCAGGTTGGCGTAGATGCTCTTCAGGTCATCAACCTGGATGATTCCGTCCCTGTTGACGTCGATCAGAGCAAAGGCCTAAAATATAATGAAATATGCATGAAATAAACATGACATATACATGAAGTAATATCATATCTTTGTACAAACTAAGCTACTACTCTTGCAAGCCATGCCATGTGTGCCAGTGTATTATGCCGGAAGCGTAACGCTACGGGGTAATATGTATGCAAAATTCTTATTCACAATATAAGATATCGTATCAGTAGACAAAATTATAGACCTTCAACCAGCAATATACCCCATCTTATGATGAACCTTTCCATTACAAAAAAACCTTTGTACCTCTCGTCTTTTAAGTTTCCGCGTTATTGCTAAGTAATCTCGATTATCATAAACAAGATAAGTTACTTGTTGTCAAAATCTACTAGAGCTGTTAATCGGTCTTATATTAGGCCCGCATAAGTTGACATTGTGGCATATTTTCAAAAGATTAAAACTCAATTCTTAGTTCCCCCCTTGAAATGTATTGTCCCCATCCAGAGTCTCCTCCCGGGGTATGTTTCTTCAACACTACAATTTTGGTTCCTCGGGAATTGTCGACCATTTAAAAAACGTCATTCTCTATTTCCTCACAAATAAACAATATAATGTTTTACATTTAATCTTTTTTTGACATTTTAAAGATTTTAAAAATCTTCCCCTTCAATATGATTTTTGTTGCCGGATATCACTTTCGCTTGGTCGCATGTGATTTGTTATAAATTGTATAATAAACGTTTTGAAAGAAGTCCAAATTATACTCCATGTTACATTTATACAGTAAACAACGGTTATAACGAACTCAAAGGGACCACTAATTTCAGTTCGTTATAACCGTAATTCGTTATAAGCATATATACAGCATAACTACAGCATACAGTCGGGACTAAAAAGTTAGTTCGTTATATCCGTTAGTTCGTTATAAACGTGTTCGTTATAACCGTAGTTTATATTATAACTTTCTCGAAGGGATAATCGGTAATAGATTCCATATTGATTACGTTGTCAAATATCTTTATTAAATATATCCGTGGTTCCTACGTAATATTAAATAGTATATGCACTCACCTCTTTAAATTCCTGGACCTGAGCAGGGCGGAACATAGCGAGAACGTTGGTGGGAGCCATTGTTGATATCTAAAATAAGAGAAGTGTATATTTACTGTGTGATAATAATGCTAGAATCTAAAACAACATTTTACTTTGCCATTGGCTCTCTTTGTGTCTTTCGGTCCGACTTTTCCCGAAAGAATACGAATAATCACGATTGTCAGTCGTTGTGACTACTCGTGTAGGTCCAGTTGAAGTTGAATGTATCCGGAATAAGGAATGGAATTGAACTGGTTCCACTGACTGGATACGCAGTTAGGTATGCGCTTTAACTTGGAGAAATTAGCCCAATCTAGAAGGAACTACTAATATAATTAAGAAACAAATTATTGTATTTATTGAGTTAAATCAAAAGAAATAGACCTCGATACAGTTGCATATACAGTTTCTAGAATACCTAGTGTTGTCGATCTTACCTTGAATCAGCTGGTGCGAGCGAAGGAAGACTTGAAATATCTGGCTGGAAGACGAAGTGATACTGACAATCCTGAGATCGTCAGTGTTTATATACACCCATCTACAATACGTCAAAGTATATCAAGTGTCCGTTTCTCTGTGTAATGAGTCAACATTGCGTCACTAAGACGCATCTAATGAGTCTAGCCACATGGTCACTCTGGCAGCGGTCATTTGAGCAGCCGCTAATGTTCTAACCACGTGCTCTCGGCTGGGGGTCGAATGTTCTTAGGGAAATATACAAGAATAAAATATATACCACTGTAATATACATGTTGTGTCTTATGTCAGGACTCGTGAACGACACATTACCCGACGGGGCGTGTAAGTAACATCAGGCAATACACTGAATATAACCGACTGCAGGGAATATAGGTAATTTGAATTATGTCATAGCATACTCATACATGTACAAACCATATATTTTGTATTTTTAAAACAGTTTAAACAATGCTTTACTGCATTAAAAATACAAAGATAAATTGTTTGGGTTTTTTTCAAAAAGGACTTTATTTTGTACTGCCATGTATAATTGAATGTTTATAAGTCCAAAAACGAGTGCAGTGTGATTATTATGTAGAAATGGTGTGTATAAAGCTCAACAATGCAATGTGATTATTGCTTAGAACAGTACCAAATTATGTCGCAATGTGTTAAGGGCAAGCAAAAGATTGGGACTCTATCATAAAAATGTATGCAATGTGTGCAATGAGGTTAATTATTTTTTAAAAATTACGAAGTTATGTAGAAGTTGGGTGTATGAGACTAAAATGTGCGTGAATTGTGAATTGTGATTTTTAAGTTTAAACATAACCAATGATGTAGACATGTGTTTAAGACAACATAATGTGTGCAATGTGGTTATTTCTTAAAACATTACGAACGTATAGAAATGTTACATATAAAAAAAACCAATGGTGCAATATGGTGGTGTGTATAAGACTAAACAATTGTTGTGTCCTGGGTATTTCTTTAAACATTATACCGCCGTCATATAGCTGGAATATTGCCGAGTGCGGCGTTAAACAAGAAACAAACAAACTTTAAACATAACCCAGTGATGTAGACAGTGCGCGCAATGTGGTTATTTCTTAAACATAACGAACTTATAGAGATAGTGTATGTGAATGGATAAACAAGGGTGCAGTGTGTTTATTGCTTACAACATTGCCAAACTATGCTGAAACGTGTTTAAGGCAAACCAATGCGTGCAATGTGGTTATGTTATAAAACAGTATGAATTTATGAATAAAGGTGCGAATAAGGAGAAACAACGCGTGTAATGTGAGTTTGATGAAACTATTGCCAGGGTATGTAGAAATGTGTTTAACGCAAAACAAATTTGTGAAATATGGTTATTACTTAAAACATGACGAACTTATGTATAAGTGGTACTTATAAAGATAAACAATGCATGAAAAGTGATTATTGCTTAAACATTATAGCAATGGTGGTGTGTATAAAACTAAAAAATGTATGCGTCGAGATTATTTCTTTAAACATTACGAAATAACGTAGAAATATGTTTAAGGCAAATAATGTGTGCAATCACATGTAATAATTCCTTAAGGCATTATTTATTCGTGTGCTTTTGAGTGAGGACGTGATTATGGTTTAAGCTCGCTTTTGGCTATATTCCAACAATATCACAGTGATGGATACCTGAATGGGCTTCACATATTGTGTTCATGAAGTGAATCAAACCTAGCTTGACCAGCGAACGCTTCAACAACGACGCTATCCCACATATCGATTTTAGAAAATATGTTCTACGACTTATAAACGTGAAAGTATACATGTACAGTTCAATAATTCTTTGATTATATATTTAGACTAAAGTATATTGACGAACCGTACTCAGAAAAATAGCAACATTTCTCATTACTTCAACATTAAAAAGTATTTAGAAGACTATACACGGAAAGTTTTTTTAAGCGAAAGATGATATATTTTTCACAAATATGTAACACATGAAATTCATCTTTAATGCTTCCGATGTTACATGATGTACACATTGCACGTGACAGATCAACATGTTTACCTGTAAGGTAATTATTAAACTTAAAATTATAGAGAGATTCTAATTTTACAGAAATCTCGTATTTATGATATGCATGTAGATGTGTTATATACATTTCTGGCAGAAGAAGATATCTGTGGGTATGTAATGCTCAAGAAAGTTTGATTTATGAACATCTGTGGCGATATATAGCTTACACTTTGCCTAAAGGTATGTAAAACCATTGACACAATTCCAACGTCTTAAATTATCCATACAAATCAAATATTAGATAAACAATAACTTCCTTACATCTGACACCCAGTTATATATTCCATTTTCATCCATCAATTTTAACATTTTTTAACACTGGTGAGCACATCGAAGATATATAATTCAACTTTAAGGAGATCTATTGAAAGTACACATTTGCATCCCCAAAAGGTTCATTATCTAAAAAGCATCACACTGGTCAACATCATTTAATTTTCGCATATTATTCACATTAAAGTTATGAAGAGAAATTCTAAATTTGTATTTAAAATCAAACAAACAACGATTAACGCTTTATCATTTAACACTGTGCTGTACATTAAGTATGCTTTAATACATGAATAATGTGTCAAAGAGTTTGATGTACATATTGGTTGGTGCCAGTTGTGAATATAAATATAAACTCTTTGGGCAAATATTCATTAAAAAAAGTTTTACAACACTGTGCTCAAGCCAGACATGGGCAAATCCGTAGGAAAATAGCATATATCGAACATCTGAAGCCCATATATGTTTACCATTATCATCAAGTTGTTTTAATAATTTATAACATTGACTAGGTTAGCGGTATGATTTCATTTTCTATAATTTAAACCAATATTTAAGTACCCTAATTTGGCTAGATACAAACAAAGTTATACGACCGGTCTCACCAAGAACAGTCCTGTCAGAGGCGTACTTTCCAACACCGACGAATCTTTGAAATATAGCGCATGAACTTTTTCTATAACATCAAAATATTTAATTCGGCAAATTTCCTCTCAATACAATAAAAGTGAGGTACTTTTGCAGTCAAAAATACTACAAGCTGTTGAGAAGTTAATAACCATATTTTTCTTAAATAATATATAAACAGGCATGACTGTTTAGGACGTTTGATATGCAAGTTTTCACAGGCCGTCGACCAATTTAATCATGAAGAAAACATAAATAAAAAATATTTATAGTGAGTGAGTGAGTTAATATTTACGTCACATCGGCAATATTTCAGCCATATCGTGACGAGTCAAATATCTATAAGTCAAAGATTTTAAGCTAGAAACATACAATGTCCACTTTCCATGTTTAGTGACAATACCACCTTCCTACAAACAATAACTTAAGTCTCGTTTAAACTGCCCGTGAGGCCCCATTTAATTCCTTAATGCTCTAAAATATATATTAATTGTATATGCAAATCGGAAACTGTGTAATCAAACAAAGCAATACCATCAGCAAACACTAGTAACATAATTGAATCTATATTTTTAGATACAAATATTCCACGAGAACACTCAAGCTTTATACTGTTTGATAGGTCATTCATTAAAAAAAGATAAACAATATGGGACTAAGTATACATCCTTGTCGAACACCGGTACTGGTTGCAAAACATGGCGTTTTATCAGGAACGGTTTATACACAGACCTTGTCATCGGTGTATATGCTTTTGAGCACAGAGTACAATTTACCATCACAGCCTTTCCTAAGAAGAAGAAACAATATTTTTTGCTTTCAACATAATCAAAGGCTCTTTAAAAGTCAATGAACGCGTAGTAGAAACGACCTCTCGGTTTACATAATATTATTATTTAGTGCATAGAGACTGCAGGGTAAATATAATAAGACTTGTTGAATAGTTTGGCCGAAAGCCAGCTTGTGTTTCTGCGATATTATGAATTGTCAGTAAACGACGAGGAATTCTTCGAAGATATTCTTGATATGCAGGAAACATATTCGATGCTCGGAAATCAGTGAACGAAAAAGGTATTTCGCATGACAGTTCTAGTGACGGTGAGCGTTATGGCAACGATACTGGCACCGACAGTTGCGATGCCGAGTGGACAAAACAGCCTTTCAAAAGTTTCGAACGCATGGATGTGGATGTAAATTGTTATTCAAAGGTAATTACCGGCGTTTAGTGAACATCAAAGTGACCACTGATCCATACGTCATTCTTATAGAATTCTTATAGAATGTCTCCCTTGCATTATATTAATATTATCGTGGACACTGTGAAAATCGAATCGGATACATATACCGATATATCCATATTGATTAATTAAGTTTATAAGAAATGTGAACATGTTATAAAACATTATCATGATTATTTTTGATAATGAATATCATCTTTAAAAAGTTCCATCAAATGATTTCAGGCTCTTTTTTCAAATAGTAAAAAAATGTGGAAATCAAAAATCAAACTTGCATGAGATCTCTTTTTTTTCTCCTTTTTTTTATTAAAAGTTTTTATTGTAAATAAGATTATCTAATATTTTTAAATTAATTGAACAATGTTGAAATAATAAGCGAATTAGGTCTTACTTTAAAATCTCTTGTTTAGTCTGTCATATTGATGATCATTAGAACAGAGTATAAAATATATAATTGTTTAACATTCAGTATTTCATATATTTATAAGGGGCGGTCAGGTAGCCTAGTGGTTAAAGCGGTCGCTAGTCACGCCGAAGACCCGGGTTCGATTCCCGACATGGGAACAATGTGTGAAGCCCATTTCTGGTGTCCCCCGCCGAGATAGTGCTGGAATATTGCTAAAGCGGCGTACAACCATACTCACTCATATATTTGCACAGAAACAAATTTCAGTATCAAATAATCGTGCATCCTTGACACTGTTCTGTTAAATGTTAACATGTTACTGTGTTAACAGATCAAGCCTGTTGTGATGGTGATGGTGAGGTGAGGTGAAATTGGGTTTAACTTCGCGTCCAAGATTGTTGCACTTACATAGCTAAGTGCATGCACGTGTGTGTATGTGAGTGTGGCTGCTTGTACCAC